CACAGATCAGGTTCGGTGGTTATCCTGTTATGTTGCTACGTTGCTGAGAGTTATGTATTTTGGGGGATTTTAGTAGTGTAAAACATACATGGAAAAAACGCAGATTCTTGTTATTGACATCTATTGGTTGGGAAGCGAGGGAAAAGACGCATGTCAAGTTCGATAAAGGGCCTCCTATCGGCTTAGGCATTGCAGTGAACCTTAAATTTAATATTTTATAGATGGTTAGTCGGAGCTAAATGAAGGTTTAGTTCGACAATTGGCCTCTCAGCGGCCATGTACCGTACTGCAGGAGGGATTCCATGTTTGTAGATTTTGGAAGTGGGAAAGTTCTTTAAGTGGTAAGGTTTTGGACAGAAATGAAGTGGAATAAATTTGCCAGCCTAGCTGCTTGCTTTTTTAAACTTAAATGCAAATGTCTGAAGCACAAGAGAATGTTTTTAAAATATTTTGGCTAGTTAGGTGTCTTTGATGAACATCAACATAATGAGACTTATATTATACAAATCAGTACATAATTAACATAAGAAATGAGGTAACGTAGTCTATAGTGGTATTTAATCCTTAATATGGTTACCTAAGGTAGAGTTTGTGTTTGTGTGTCTGTCTGTCTAAAATACAATAACTCCAGTAAGCTTACATAGATTGTCTTAATGTTTGGTAGGTAGGGCTTTATAAGACTTAGAAAGCATTACATTTAATGTCCTTTGGTGTCTTCTTGTGGTACTGCAGCGGAACATGTTAGGGACGTGAAGTTTGGCTGGTAGATAGGTCTTTTACACAGTATTCCGGTAAAAAGAGACATGATTGTTGGCCCGAAGCAGCTTGGCAAATATCTTTGAAGGAGGATAACTAAAGAACTGGTTGCAGTTCGTTATTATTTATGGGTGTGTAGGTAGCTTAATCGGTCATAAATGTATGTTTAAGATTTGGCCATTAAGCGAAATAGGTCGATGATTAGTGCATTCATGATACAGTGCTCTCCAACTATTTACATCACTGATATTAGCATAAATCTAGGATTTGCATAGAATTCTGGAATAAGTAGTAGTTGGTTTATTGGTAAAAACACGATACAAATCGGCCTTGCAGTATGCACTGAATTGCGCCGAATTTTACATTCCACATACTAAGTAAAAACATCGTAGGCTAATATAATACATATACAAGTATATACAAGTGATATTCAATAATTGACGACATAGTTTTTCATACTATACATATAGCGTTGTGGTTCGACATCAAGGATATTAAAAACAGCATTGTGTGGAATCGTTAAAGGTGAGACTGCTCTCGAATAAAAACAGTTCATAACAGTTCAGTTTACAGTCCATTGAGGAGTTTAGCCAACATCGGCTTGGCACTCGTGGTGTATCTTTTGGTCCCTCTGGCCAGGGAGTACTGGAGCGAGTTCCTCCGCTGCCGACCGTGTAGATCACCCCGCGTAGGAGGCAGCCCGCAGCAGAAGCGAGGCGACTGTCTAACCTTCTTTTCAAAGTTCAGGCAAATATTGTGTCTGCGGTCAGAAAGAGATTCAAGTTCCAAAGTTTTCAAGGCTTCCGGGTATGATGTGTACTGCCGGCCCAACACAATCCTACAAGCACGTTTCTGCACTCGTTCTAGTCTGACTGTTTGCCGCAGTATACGGTGGTGAGGTCGACTGTTGGGAGACCAGCCTGCACAGTAGGAAGAGGTGCCTGCTTCTTTTTGTAACCATGCTGTCCACCTGTGCGTCCCACCCGAGATCCGACTGGATCTGGAGACCAAGACCAAGTAGTCGTGCCTGTGATACCACTATGGGAACTTGACCACCCAGTGTAAGTACTGGAACAGGAGGCGGAAGCTGCATGAAGGAGATATGTAACACTTTGCATTTTATGGGGTTCAGCAGCATGGCCAAGAAGAGCCAGTGCGACAGAGCGTGCTGGTAACGAACACGCTGTCTCCGGCTTGAGACGACACTACAGACCCAGGGCAGTAGAGAGGACCGCGCTACCATTTGTATGAGTTTAGTTATGGCTGTCGTGTGGCACACTCTGTCGAAGGCCTTGCTAAAATCTGTCAGTACCAGGCTACTGACAGATTGCTTCCTTTCTGAGCTCTTATAGAAAAAGTCCAGGATTTCTATAAGGCAGTGGGTTGTGGAGGTACCTCTGAGATTCCCAAACTGCCTGGTGCCCACCATTGGCAAGACGTCCCGCAAAAACCAAACCATTTGCCATCCACTCCATTTTAAAGTGCATGACATTATTGTATCAGCTATGAATACTATAATGACAATAACCTGATATTGGCGTAAAATATTTCCATCTCAATAGCACACTGACCAAGAAATACGTAAAAGAAATACATGTAATCGTTAAGGTTGAATGGTTGCACGTCAGCAAATCATCATAGAGTCTATCGTTATGTATTCATCACCCCTGCAACCTCTATTGTAATATTTCTATGTCCTCGCTTCCTTCTGGCCAGGTGAGAACTCTCAACCACTCATTGAAAATTGTGTGAAAAGAAGTTCCTTTTGGTGTCATTGATTGGAGCTGTTGTTTTAGCTTTGGCAAGCTTTTGCCCAACAAAGTTTGACAATAGGTTGACAATATTATGGTGGAATGTACATGTTACCTGGCTAAGGACATTTTACGTAAAATGTCCTTGATGTAACTAAAGTTAATAAGTTTGGAAATTAAGCCATGTTCGTTAATACAAAAAAGCAGTATAGCAATGTAATGGCACTACAGATGCGTCTTGTCTCAAATGTGATAGAGTTGTCAGATTTCATTACGACTTTAAAACATTTTTGTTTTAAAATTTTGTCAATTTTTAAGAATGGTAAGTCTACCTAATGTAAGAATACTGTAATTCCTGATTTTTCCACTGTATTTTTATGTTCACTGTTTTCACTGTCACTTCTGTACCTTGAGCGTATCATTACAGTTAACAAAACATTTCTGGACTTTCTTTTTCCTGCACCTGTCAGAACTGTGCTCCAATAGTCTATACCCTCATGCAGAAATGGAATCTTCCAACACCTTCTGCTTTCGGAACATGTAGAACGTGAGTGTTCTATCTAGAACTGTTAGTTGGGAATTTGTTTTTTAAAGCTGCACTTGCTTTTTTTTTATTAAAAGTAAGGTAAATAAAATTAATTTAAAAGGCTAAATCTAAATAGTGGACACTATAGTCTAGGCATTGGTGCCAAGCTACCCGTATGCTGAATTTCATGTCATTCCGATTTTTCCTGAAAATGGGAAAAAAGATTAAGGCCTCTTTCAAAAAAATTATTTAAAAAATCCTGGCTATTTGTCAAAATCTATCTTTACGCCAAATTTAATGTTATTTTCCCCAAAATGGCCGAGTTGAATCCATTTAAAAAATGTCAGGAGAAGAAGAAACATGAGAGAAAGCAATATAGCAATATGCCTTCACCACCTCGTGGTAAAACCATAATTGCTGTAGTGATAAAGTGTACAATGCAGGTGACAATGTTGATCACTATTCAGTGAGTCTATATACATAGATAGAGACAGAGAGAAGGCAGTGAATTGCAGTCGTAAAACTCGAAGATAGACAAGATATCTAACAAAAAGCGTGTATACTTGGATATAAAGGTATGCTCATGTCAATGTAATATGACGTCATAAATTGACGGTGGTTGTGTTTGTTTTTGAATAGTTTGTGCATAGGCAGTGAGGGAAACCAGAAAATGTTCAATTTAGCAAAGGGCACAACCCGCCGTACGTACTTTTTAAGGCCACGTCCACTAACGTTTTTCTTTTCTGAAACCGTGGAGAAGGACTGGCATGATCAGTACGTTAACGCACGTCACTCACACGGTTGCGCAACGTGTAAGAATGTGGTTTACACGCCACGTCTGGCCGTGAGCGATTGCGTGCATCGTTCGTTGCGCAAGCGGTAAGTTGAACGTACTTATAATGTACGATCTCTGAGCGATTGCCACTTTACCGTATGAAGGCCGTACATACACGTACGTACTTTACGTATTGGTACCTGCAGGGCACGCGCGTCGCCCATACTGGCTCATATGGGAGTGAATCCGCAGCCCGAAAGCAGAGAAAGATTTACATGCACTTAAAGTGTCTGCGTGCTCCCAAATCCACTCGGTTCCGTACGGTGGCGGTACTCACCGGTTACGGATTTTAAAAAATGTTCACGTGTTTAAACGTAGACAGCATGCAGCGGGTTTTGACCCTCGCTTTAGTGGGAACCTGAACGGATTTCTAGATACTAACGTTTTAGGTCTGATTTTTATATTTCTAAAAAAAGCAATATAACGAATGTTGATGTCTCTTTAACAAGTACCATAAGTTGGCACCTAGTTTGGATCGGTAGGGATGATTTTTTGTATTTAAGTACCTTGGACAAAGTTGCACGCAGTGGAATTCAAACTTTGACCACATATAGCCTATGTAGGTAGGGAATATTTTGTCTCTTTGTTACTTACAACGTCAGCGCAGCGTAGTTTTGACCCTAGAGGTAAATATTGGAACTGCAGGGGAATCATCATTTTAATGGTAAAAAGTTTTAAACATAAGGGGTTTCCATATTTTGTGTGCGGTTAACTCTGGCAATAATGTTAAAGAATTAGATGCAAGCAATGCTAATGAGGACTACAAAATATACAGGTAAGACTCTAATTGGAATATTCATATGGATCTTTTTACATGAAAATGCCAAAACTTCATAATTGTAACTAATCAGGAAGTTGCACGTAACTGTTAATCCTTCACAAAGGTCTACTTCAAATTTTTGTGAAAGTTGTATAAAATTTCGGAGTAGAAGCAGGCCCTCGTCCTTTGGTAAGGCATTAGAAAACCAAGTCCTCATTTCTACAAAATGAGGAAATGTATAATATGTTTTTCGCTAAGACACCAATAGTTTGGAAAATGATTTATAGATTAACTCTAAAACATCTAATTAGAATACATAGTACTGTTCTGTGTAATGGCAAAAGGCAAAAATGTCTAATCCTTTTCGTGGTTTTTAATTGTTTTTATCATTTAGGTTGGCGTCTGCGTGGCTTGATAAGTTCGTGCATGATAAATATCGACTTTCCTACATCAAGAAACTCCACACATTGATGAAGGCGGGCTATCAAAGTGAAGAGAAAAGTGAAGAGGTATCAGTACTGTTAACAGGCACAAAACAGACAATACCTTTTAAAATATTCAAAAGACATAGGAGTTTAATTGCCAAACAAATTATTTAATCAGATGGAAACAATCTATTGTTATTAACTTATTAACTGAAAATTAATCTATTTTCTACAGGAAGTGACGTTCAGAACTTTCCTTCATTGCATTCAACAGCAAAAATGGGACAACCCTCATTGGACATCAGTCTTTAGACTCTGCCAACCCTGTCAGGTACAGTATATTTATCTATCGATCGATCGATAGATGTGTAAGGAGAGAGAGAGAAAGAGAGAGAGAGAGAGAGCTTGGACAGAGATGAACGCGACAACGGACAACACGTAGGAACAGTGCAATAACAAGAATTTATATGTTATATGATATGTTATATGATATAATGTGTGTCAAATATATTTTCTTTTTAAGAAGCAATATGCATTACTTTATTGGATAACTAAATGTTCTAATCTTTTTTATTAGGTTGGCTATGACTTTGTAGCTCACACAAATAGCATTGCTGCTGATATTTCACTACTTTTAAAAAAAATCGGAATCACGTCTGAGGAATATGCACTTCCGCAACAACGGACTACACGGGGGAACAGTGCGATAGCAAGGATGTATCGACAAGTTCCTGTGAAGGAACTACTACATTTGAGGGACATTTACCGACAGGACTTTGATATGTTTGGATACTCTTTTGAGCAGGACCTTTATAAGATAAAAATGGTTCGTTTAAAAAATGATTTTAAAAATCGAACTGCTGTCTGATAACGAGGAATTTATTACTAAAGGGTTAATGCACTGCCCCGAGTTGTATATGGTGTCATAACTGCATGAGCAGCTGCCATAACCACCGAATAAACCACCGTGTGAGCGAAGCGAACGAGGTGGTTTATGAGGTGGTTATGGCAGCTGCCCATGCAGTTATGACACCATATACAACGAGGAAAAGGCAGTGCATTAAAATTATTATCATATAGCCTATCCAAACTGTCAATCAACACAATTCCTGTTTGAAATACAACAGCTTTAATATATATACATACATAAAAATACATTCGAATATATTATACGCTTTAAAACAAATATGGATAATTTAATTTAATGCAAATTGTAGTTTAAATGAAGCTAAACAAAAAAGTTTATTGGACAGAAAAATGCTACAAAGGTTTACAGAAAGAGTCGCATGCCCCTATACCCTATAACATAATGGTATCAGCCATAACACGACATGTGCTGTTATTCCGCCATAACACCACATGTGCTGTTATCGGAAAATAACAGCACGGGTATCCGGGCCTCTGATTGGTCCACGCCGTCCGGCTATATGATAATAGTAAATAGCCACCGTTATTACCAATGGGTGATGTTTTACGAAAATGTTTCTATCAGGAATATTGCAACATTGGTTAAATATTTACATGTGTATAACATCATGTTACCAATACAAGAGTGATTTAAGCATGCAGATTTAAAATAGCACAAAGCTTGTCGCCAAATTTTGCTATGCCTTTGAAACGTACCCGTTGTTCACAGTCGAGTCGCAGCTTTCATGGCCACCACTAAAAAAGCTAAAAATGGTAGCCGCAATTGCGCAATCACAATTAACATGTTAATCCTATGTAGACTCGGCTTTCTGGGGGGATCCGTGGAATTTGGGGGAGGCTTACCCCCCCCCCTCAAAACTCGTGTAGGGTATATCGTATGACCACCAGACTTTATGGTGTACTGCTAAGGAATAATCGTATAAAAATATCTCATTCGGCCCTATTAGATCTCGTAAACGGTACATCGTGTGACCACCAAAATTTATGGTGTACTAGTAATAATTAACCATTTCAACAATTTTGATATCATTATAACGTAACATGACGTCATTTATGTATTGCCTAAACCCATCTAGATAGGTTATTCTTTTAAAGTTTCATGGTATACAGCACAAGTTTAACAAAAAGTGTCTAGGATGGAATATTAAGCTCTAATAAAACTTATGTTTTTCTAAGCAACAAAAGTGACGTCATTTATTGAAGCTTGTATTTTAACCTTTAGCATTGTATTGTCACAAGTATTAATTGTAATGTGAGAAGTTGTTTTTACACAATGTATGGGACACGTAATTCAGCCTTCGGGCTGTTAAGTGTGTCAAATGAAACCCCAATTATTATTATACCAATACTTGACAAGCTATTCGCGATATTTGATACACCACGGATCCCCAAGACCGACAATGGGCCACCATGAAACAGCGATCAGATGAGGAACTTCGCAAATCACCTAAACTATAAAGTCATTCCATATTGACCACAAGCAAACGGAGAGGCCGAACGGTTAATGCGCACACTGGGAAGACGCTAAATGCAGCAGCAATAGCGGAAAAAGCGTGGAAACAGGAAGTCCATGCAATGCGATAGCAAGGAGGTCAGGGGTCGCCATGGCGGGAGCATCGCCTAACCCAGGCTGCGTCAACCAGCTCTGTATTTTGTAGTCTATACGGGTGTAAAATCATAGATATAGTCAAATATGTGTATGTAAGTCTATAAGAACAGGTACTTGTACGACATAGAAAATTTCAACAAAGTTTCAAGAGTAAATTTGTCAAATTACGCTGGTTGACCCGGCAGTGGGGAGGGCATGCCCCCAGACATGGAGGTGTAGTATTTCTCTTTTGTTTCTCTTATTGATTTATTTATTTTGCCTTTGTTAATTACTTCGTTAAGAAGAGCCGAGCGCCTTATGATGTCTTTTTGTTTAGAATTTTGTTACATTTTGTTTATTTTGCTACGACTGCCAATTTTGAATGCACGAATGAGAATGGACTTACTCAGTCCTCGATCGTCGTAGTATCTGGGATCTTGTTTCCACTCACTGTGCTTGTATACTCTGCTTATGTAAACATATCATCGAGTGCTCGTGTATATTTGCTACTGTAGTTAGACCAACATCGTTGAAATAGAAATTTTTGTAGAGTGTATAACCGGGATTTCTCAGTATAGCGCGGACAACAGCCAAATTTACATATATATGCCCTAGTGCGTGCCTAGCGCGCAGTAGGAATTTTTGTTTGTTATTGCGTTCCAGACACGTTAATTATGACAAAACGGATCTTATTCAATTACTTTGAACGCAAGAGCTCTATCTGAGTAAAAGTAGTTGCCGTACTTGCCCTGGCACTACACTTTTGCAGATCACCAAACATAAAGAACTCTCTAAGGCTAAACATGCTACAGTAGCAAATCACACAATGCCGCAGGCGGTGATGGGATATGACTATGCATTGTACAAACTGACAACTACTCGTAGTAAGCTTGTGACCAACATGTATATACCAGTAAGGAAATGTAGTAAGTTCCAATTTTACACTTATGTATTACTTCTAATGGCCGGAGACATCTTAGCCAATCCGGGCCTGACAATTCCACGTAAACAACAGAGAAAAGGTCTAATGTTGTCACACCAAAATATACGTAGTCTACCAGCAAAGCATGCGCACCTCGAGATCCTTGCTGCTGAAAGTAAAGTAGATATTATAGGGTTAACTGAAACTCACCTGAGTGATGATTTTCCAGACGACACTATCAAAATACCTGGATACGTACTTGTAAGGAGGGATAGGGGATCAAGACATGGTGGTGGCCTTTTATATCAAAGACTCAATTGCTTTCAAAGAAAGGCATGATCTATCGGTAGACGGGCTCGAGGCCTTGTGGATTGAGCTAACCCTCCAAAGTCTAAGCACTTACTTCTGTGCTGCGCATACAGACCTCCAAATGACACAGACTTCTTCAGTCTCTTCAAGGAAAGCATGGATAAAGCTTCCGACACTAACCTTGAAACGACAATATTGGGGGATCTGAACTGTAATTTACTGATTGACAAGGGTCCGGCCGAAGATCTTAACTTCTTGTGTGACCTCTACGATCTAACTAATTTAATAAAGGAGCCAACAAGAGTAACGGAACAAAGCTCATCACTCATTGACGTGATCTTAACATCAAACTCTTGTAAATACTCCAACAGCGGTGTGTATAAAGGAGGGCTGAGCGACCATCACCTAATATATACACATCGTGGTCTAAAGCAACCAAAACCTTCCCCTAAGTGGATTTCTGCGAGGATCTTTAAAAGATTCGTTGAAGAAGAATTCATAGCGGATTTAGAGAGAGTCCCATGGTCAACAATCAGCGCCCTTGGTTCAGTACAGGACATGTGGCTTGCCTGGAAATCTCTTTTTGAAGCTGTGTGCAACAAACATGCCTCAGTCAAGAAGTTCCGTGTGAAAGGAACTGACAGACCTCCCTGGCTCTCTGAGGAAATTCGGGAGATGATGTCCTTGCGTGATCAGGCGAGATGCACGGCAGAACGAACACAGAACGAGAAAGACTGGGACACATATAGACATCTGCGTAACCACACCAAAAGACTGATCTCCTAGAGTAAGCAAAACCATTACACCGAAGAAATAAACCAAAGCCAAACCAAGGACATGTGGAAATCCCTTCACTCTCTGTTGGGCAAGTCCAAGTCAAGTGATATTCAAAGTATGAAGGACGAGACGGGTGAGGCAAGCTCCTCCCTAGAAATAGCCAAAAAACTAAATAACTATTTTGGGACGGTGGCCGAAAAGCTAGCACACTCCATCAGCAAAACCATGCCATCGTTAGTCCCTTGGAGTATGTAAAAAGATCTCTCGCCCGCTTTTCTTTCACACCCATAACAGTTGACTTCGTCAAACAGGAGCTCAGAATGCTAAATACAAGCAAAGCCACCGGTCTTGATCAACTTAACAACAGGCTCATAAAGGCTGCGGCTGATGTCATCGCTCCTTCTCTCACAGACATTCTGAACGAGTCACTGGCTAAGCAGGAGTTTCCAGAGGATTGGAAGCAGGCGAGGGTAACGCCCATCCACAAGGCCGGCGACAGAGCCCTTCCAAACAATTACCGACCAGTTAGCATCTTACCAACTGTTTCAAAAATCCTTGAGAGAGCTGTACATACTCAGCTCTACGATTATCTTACCGAAAATAACATTCTCTCTGATAGGCAATCTGGTTTCCGACCAAAACACTCTACGCAGTCCGCTGCACATTTATTGGTTGAGAAATGGTTCGCCGCCATGAACGCTGGAGACTTAACAGGGGCTGTCTTTATTGATCTATCTAAGGCGTTCGATACTCTTGATCATGCTATCCTTCTTCAAAAAATGTTCAAATACGGTATTCAGGGTGGAGCCCTTGACTGGTTCACTTCTTACCTCACTGGAAGACAGCATTGCACCGCTGTAAATGGTGTCACTTCTGACTTTCACACGGTTAAGTATGGTGTGCCCCAAGGGTCAATTTTAGGACCACTACTTTTCATTATTTATGTAAATGATATGCCAAATTGTATTCAAAGTTGTAGCATTTTAATGTATGCCGATGATACGGTCATTTATGTCAGCAGCAAGGATGTTGAGACCATTGAGACCGTCCTACAGGAAGATCTCGAAAGGCTGTCTCAATGGTTTGCTGTGAACTCTCTGTCTGTGGATGGGGGTAAATGTAAGTGCATGTTGCTGGGTACAGACAAAAGACTGAAAAACAGTAACAACCCCAGCTTGGTTATTAAAGCTCAACCTGTAACCATGTGTAACATATATAAGTACTTAGGCATATACATTGACAATAATCTGAACTGGAAAGGGCATGTTAAACACGTACTGGGTAAGCTAAGACGATCCCTAAGTATCATGAAGCACGTCAGTCCCTTCATATCCACATTAGCACTAC